TGGTTAGATGCTGAACCTCATGCCAGCATTACTATATGGGAAGAACTAATCAGGAAGTTCTGTAATAAATTTTTCCCACCGGCGAGGGTAGCTAAAATCAAATTGGAAATTCAAACTTTTCAGCAGAAAGAGGGAGAAAGCTATCATGAAGCACGAAATAGGTTTAATGAGATGATTAGAAAATGCCCAAAACATGGAATTACTATAGGTAATCAAGTGCAATACTTTTACATTGGACTTACACTACCGTCAAAATCCCAAGTCGATGCCTCAGCTCGAGGATCAATTATAGGTAATTTATGCAGCAAACCATGGAACTGTTTGAGTTGATTGCCACTACACATTTAATGTTCTCATCAGAAAGAGTGGTGCCACCGAAGATAGGAGGAATGTATGAGTTAGACAGCATAGCAGCTACCAACGCCCAAATAGCAGCATTGACAAAACAGGTGGAGTTATTGGTGAAATCACAAACGAAAGGAGCACATGTAGTGACAGCTGGTCCATCATGTAAGAACTGCGGGGCTAATCATCTGACAGAAAAATGTACATCTATAGGCTATCCCGACAAACAGGTCAATTTCATTCAAAATGGGTCTCGAAATTTTAATCAATTTGCTCAAATGTACAACTCAGGATGGAGACAACACCCAAACTTCAGATGGTCGGATAATCAGCAAGGGAACATTTCAAATAATGCCCAACAAGAGAAAAAACCAAGTTTGGGGGAGATTTTCAACCAGTACATGCAGAAGACTGACAAGGTGTTTCAACAGATTGACACTAACTTTCAGAATCAACAAGCATCAATCAAGAAGTTGGAAACACAAATTGGTCAGATAGCTCAACAGCTTGTAGAACGCCACAAGGGACATTGCCAGGCGACACAATGGTCAATCCAAAAGAGCAAGTGCAAGCTATTACTACTAGAAGTGGGATGCGACTTCAGAAATACATGTAAAGAGACCAGAGTGAAAAGATAAGGAAATAATGGGTGAAGAGGCTGGGACAGAAGTAGAGTTTGAACAACCAACTGACAAGGAGAACGAAAGGAAAGAAACACCTGTAGTGAGAGCACACAGCCCCGTGAAAGCTTATGTGCCACCAATTCCCTTCCCTCAAAGGTTACAAAGAAAGAAGTTGGATAATCAGTTTGCCAAGTTTGTGGAGATTTTCAAGAAACTGCACATCAATATTCCATTTGTAGACGCAATTGCCCAAATGTCCAGCTATGCAAAATTCTTGAAAGAGATCCTATCTAACAAAAGGAAGCTGGAAGAACATGAGACAGTTTGCCTGAACGAGGAGTGCAGTGCAATACTATTGAGAAAGCTACCTCCTAAATTAAAAGACCCAGGGAGTTTCACTATACCTTGCACAATTAGTTCTAATTTCTTTGAACATTCTTTATGTGATTTAGGTGCTAGTGTTAATTTGATGTCTCTCTCTTTGTCTACAGGTCTCTTAGATTAGGAGAAGCAAAACATACAACACTCTCTTTGAAACTGGCCGACAATCGATCAAACAACCAAAAGGAATTATTGAAGATGTGCTGGTCAAATTTGACAAATTTATTTTTCCGGCTGATTTCATTATTTTAGACATGGAAGAGGACTCAAATATTCCTCTGATCTTGGGAAGACCCTTCTTAGCTACTGGAAGAGCATTGATTGATGTTTATGATGGAAAAATGATTCTTCAAGTGGACAATGAGCAAGTCATATTCAACGTGTTCAAGGCAGTGAAATACCTATTGACTTTCAACACTTGCTGCCAAGTTGATGTATTTGAAGAGCTTGTGGTGGATACATTTGATATAAAGCATCACACAAATCTTTGTGAGGCAGAACTTACGCAATTGGAAGCAACAAATGCAGGAAAAGCTGAATGTGTTGTCAACTTAGCTAAGCAACTCATAGGAAAAAGGCATTGGCAGTATGAATCTCTTGGTGACAACCCTTCTCCCCCGGTACCCTCAGTGGAAAATGCACCAACTTTTGAACTAAAGCCCTTACCTTCCCATCTTCGTTATGCATATTTAGGAGAATCTACAATACTGTCAGTAATCATTGCAAATGACATGACGAGGGAAGAGGAGAATAAATTGTTGGAGGTACTCTGGCAGCACAAAATGGCAATTGGATGGACAATAGCTGACATAAGAGGGATCGGTCCAACTCTTTGCATGCACAAAATTTTAATGGAGGACGGGTCAAGGGCATTAGTGGAACGACAACGCCGATTGAATCCAACCTTAAAAGAAGTCATGCAAAAGAAGTGCTGAAATTACTGGATGCAGGAATAATTTATCCCATATTTGATAGTTCATGGGTGAGTCCTGTACATGTTGTAGCTAAAAAGGGCGGAATCACAGTAGAGAAGAATGAGAACAACAAGCTGATACTAACACGGTTAGTGACAGGGCAGAGAGTATATATAGATTATAGGAAGCTAAATAATGCAACCAGAAAGGACCATTTTCCATTGCCATTCATTGATTAGATGTTGGAAAGGTTGGCAGGACATTCTCATTTTGCTTTCTGGATGGATATTCAGGGTACAATCAAATAGTGATTGCTCCAGAAGACCAAGAGAATACAACCTTCACATGCCCTTATGGAACGTTTGCGTTTAGAAGAATGCCTTTTGGCTTATGCAATGCACCGGTAACTTTTCAACGATGCATAATGGCCATCATTTCTGACGTGGTAGAAAAGTACATTGAGGTTTTTATGGATGATTTTTTTGTATTTGGAGATTCATTTGAGGATTGCTTGGATCAGTTGGCTCTTGTATTGCAAAGATGTGAGGAAAAGAACCTTGTGTTTAATTGGGAAAAATTTCATTTCATGGTAAAGAAAGGAATAGTATTGGGACATTGAATTTTCGCACAAGGCATTGAAGTGGACAAAGCCAAAATACAGGTGATTGAGAAATTGCAGCCACCTAATTCAGTAAAGGGGATCAGGAGTTTTCTGGGACATGTAGGGTTTTATAGAAGATTCATTCAAGACTTTGCAAAAATTACAAAACCGTTGTACAACCTGTTGGAGAAAGATATACCATTTCAATTTTCTGATGAGTGTTTGAAAGCCTTTAACACTTTGAAAGAAAATTTGACATCAACACCTGTGATAGTGGCTCCAGATTGGGAATTGCCTTTTGAGCTCATGTGTGAAGCCAGTGACTTTGCAGTGGGGGTAGTGCTTGGACAACGTAACGGAAAAGTATTTCATGTTATCTACTACGCTAGCAAAATATTAACCGATGCTCAGATCAACTATGCAACAACTGAAAAGGAAATGCTCGCAGTTGTTTTTGCTTTTGACAAATTTTTTCTTATTTGATTGGGTCCAAGGTGATAGTTTATACAGACCATAAAAGCTCTGAAGTATTTGTTTGAAAAGAAGGACGTGAAACCAAGGCTAATTCACTGGGTGCTGTTATTGCAAGAATTTGACATCGAGATTCGGAAAATCAGGTAGCGGATCACTTATCAAGGATAGAGCAACTACAGAATTCAGATGATGTGAATATTAATGAGGTCTTCCTAAATAAACAGTTTCTGCAATTAGAAAAAGCTCCGTGGTATGCAGGCATTGTTAATTACTTAGCCAGTGGCTATATGGATCCAGATATTACCTATCAGCAAAAGAAGAGGCTCAGTCATGAAGCGAAATTCTGTTACTGGGATTATCCAAATTTATACAGGAGAGGGGCGGACCAGATCATTTAGAGATGTGTGCTTGAGAATAAGATGAATCCGATCCTTTCACGAATACATACTTCGGCTTATGGAGGGCACTTTGACCCCACTAAAACAGCAGCAAAGGTACTCTAATGTGGTTTCTTTTGGCCTACATTATTCAAGAACTGTCATAGTTTCTGCAGGTCATGGGAAAAGAACATGTAACATATCAGAGCGTTACAAGATGCCACTTAACAACATTTTGGAAGTGGAAATATTTGATGTCTGGGGGGTTGATTTTATGGGTTCGTTTCCATCACCTTACAACAATTGGTACATCTTGGTGGGTAAAAGCCAAAACATTGCGTACAAATGATGCAAGGGTGGTGGTGGACTTCATAAAGAAACACATATTTAACCGCTATGGATCACCAAGAGCCATTATAAGTGATAGTAGAACGCACTTCTGCAATCGGTTATTCCAGGAAGTGTTGCATAAGTACGGGGTACAACATCGAATTGCCACTCCTTATCACCCTCAGACAAGTGGACAGGTGGAAACGTCAAACAGACAATTGAAAAGAATTTTGGAGGTCACTGTGAATGCATCTTGCAAGGATTGGTCAAAAAAATTGGATGATGCTTTATGGGTATATCGCAAAGCTTACAAGACACCTATATGAATGTCCCCATACCGACTAGTCTTTAGGAAAGCATGCCACTACCAGTGGAGTTTGAGCACAAAGCGTACTGGGCATTGAAGCAGTTAAACATGGACCTCGAAAAGACTGGAGTAACAAGAGTACAACAGCTACATGAGTTAGAGAAATTTAGAAGAGATGGATATGAGAATGCATCCATTTACAAGGAAAGGACAAAGCAGTGGCACAACAAAAACATATGGCAACGAATTTTTTGAGTGGGGGATCAAATGCTATTATACAATTCCCGACTTAAGCTTTTTCTAGGAAAATTGAAGTCTAGATGGTCCAGTCCTTTTACGGTCTCTCAGGTGTTTCCCTACGGGATAGTTGAATTACACCTTCCAACTAAAGGAAATTTCAAAGTAAATGGCCAACGCATCAAGCATTATGTGGAAGATTTCCCCACCGCTAAAGAGAGTCTTGACCTAGCTGTTCCCGAATAACTGCGGCACTATGTCCAGCTAATGACTTAAACGAAGCGCTTCTTGGGAGGCAACCCAAGCTCTACCCTTTATTTGATTATTGGTTTTTGCTTTGATTTTGTTGTTCTTTGAATAATCTATACTATAGTAGTAACACTTTCTTTTGTTTTTGTAGGAGAATCCATAAAGTTTACATATTACGGAATAAGAGGTGGAATTTGAATTCTACAATGAAAATGGATGTGTGATAAGGAGGAGGAGTTAAAAAAAAAAAAAGGCTAGTAACACAGCGCCCAAGCACTGCCTGAGTGCTGCGAAACTGCCGAATGGCAGAAACGCAACGCCTGCATTCTGCCAGAATCGGCAGAAACACAGCGCCTAGGCACTTCGACCCGCCCCCTATGTTTTATTTATTTATTTTTTTTTTACTTATTTTCTATTTCTTATAACCTCTTGTCCTCTTCCTTTTCACAATACGTAATTTACCCAATCCTACTCCCTCTCATCTTCTTCCCTAACACCCTTAATTTTACCCCTTTTCATCTCCTCCTCAACCCTCCCAAGGTACCATTTTCCCCTCTTTTTCCTTATTTAAGTTTTTTTTTTCTTTGTTGATTTTATTTTGTTTTATTCTTCCTCTTTTCACCTCACCCACATTACAATTCTTTCAATTACACATATTCTCGCCCCCCATCTCCTTGTTGTTTTCAACATTTCATTGTTACAAAGTGTGAATTCATCAATTCCTATTAGTTTCCACAGCACCATTCCAGGTATGGCTTTTTTTTGCTCCCTATTTTTTTCTCTTACGTGATAATTGATACTTATATGTGCCTATTTTTTATAATTATGTCAAGAGGAGGGCTTGCTTCGTTGAGGTGTCAAGAAATTCGTGTATGATGCAGATAATGTGGCATGAATTACTTCTAAATTATGGGCAATTTTTGGTGAAAATTTGGTGCCTTCAAAATGTTTGATGGATTGCCTAGGTGAACATAGTTGGGTATAAAAGAGCTAATGTGGCTATTGTGCTAATTGGCTTATGTGGGGATTGCCATGTAGATGATCGTAAATTGAAATTGGGTTTAGAATACATCTATTGCACGTTCGACCATAGTCTGCCCTTATGGCTAGATTTTAAGTCCTGCCTTATCTTCCTTCACTACTGATCACTTTTTTTTGTTTTTTTTTTGTTAATGGTTTACATGTTCTACACTTACACAAGTCCAATGCCGCCTAAAAAGAGATCAAAAGCCGCAGCCTCCTCTTCTAGCTCATTTAACAGGAGCAAATTCATTAGTGTCGAGGCCGCTGAACGATATAATAGCCTGGTGGTACGCAAGACCTGTATCCCTGAACGTGGTTTTGACAATTATATGACAGAGTAAATAGGTCGGCGGAACTGGGAAGTATTTGTTCGACAACCACGACAGACGCTAATTCCGGTTGTCAGGGTGTTCTACGCCAATGCGAAGGAGCATCGAGATTTTCGAGTATTTGTGCGGGGTAAATGGATACCGTTTGATAGAACCTCCATCAACATGTTTTATAATTTGTAAGAATTGAAAATGACGAGTACTCTAGACTTCGTGACGAGGGTGTTGATCCTAATGAGGTCATTCGAATCTTGGCCGCAACTGGTACTACATGGAAACATTCAGAGATTGATGTACTTAACTTCCCTGCTTCTGGTATGACTTCGGGTTGTAAGGCTTGGCATCACTTCATTTCTGGTAAACTTATTCCCAGTAGCAATTTAAGTAAAGTAACAAAAGAACGGGCTACCCTCAATTATGTCATTCAATGCCGCCTATCAATTGATGTTGGTAAAGTTATTCACAACACTTACACACTTTGAAAGGGTCGACGATAAGTGGTCTAGGGCACCCATCGTTGATTTATGAGCTTTGTTTAGCGGGTGGTGTTGTCACATACCTGACTGAGGAGGTTGTGCATACTTGGAAGTTCTTAAGCTACTCCAAATCCACCAATGCTCCACCCACTCCTCGGAGCGACCAGCCGCCAAGATCACGCCGACCAACCCCAGCTAGTGACCCCAATTCTAACCTTGTCGCTCAGTTTCATGACATGCAATTGCAAATGAATTTGATGCAAAATACATTGTGCGAACATTTCCATTATCAATATGAGTTCATTGCGGTCCTGGCTTCGATTTACTCTGATAGAAAATTTCCTTAGCCGCCTCTCCTACATAGTGTTGGCAACGGTTCGGTTATGGGTCGATTCGGCCAAAACCATAACCGCACCACCAAATTTTTTACCATACCATAACCGCACCATAACACATAAATCGGTTCGGTTTTTATCTCGGTTCGGCACGATTCGGTCCGGTTAATAACCATGAAAATAAATTATTTTTTATAGGTTCATCCGTCAAATTGATATAAAACAATTTATGAAAAAAGTCAATGAAAACAAAAACACAATATTCCAAACGAAAATACAAACATTATCAAACAATATTTCAAATGTAAATGCAAACATTATCCTAATTTTCAATTGTAAAATACAAATTTAACAAACAATATTATAAATATAATAATACTAAACTTTTCCTTCATTCTTAATTGCTGTGCATCGAAGTTACTTGATGCATTCTTCCCTACAAGTCTTACTAGCATAGATCAGCATTCAAAATTGATTCCTATTAATCCTTGGCAATATTGGCACGTCTAGAAAAATATCGAACACTATTTTTACATGATCAGCAGTAATAGAATGACTAACAAATGTAACAAATTTTCGGAGGCGACGACGATTTGGACCGTAGAGGCAATGGAGCCGTGCGTGAGTTTGTGGTTGTGGAGAGTAGAGTTTGCATTTATATACTGTCATACTAATGCTATTATGGGCTAATGGTAAGTAGACTGGCAGAATGAGTCAGGTAAATGTAATGAGGAGGGGAGGGATTTTGTTTTGATTTGAATAGAAAAGTAGTGTAAAGCCCATTATCAATTCAATTTTTTTTTTAGCGGGTAATCGGTTCGGTTTCGGTTCGACGACTTAAATACCATACCCGCACCATTATGAACCGGTTCATTAAAATCAAAACCATATCCGCCCTATTGCACCGTCGGTTCGGTTTTTTTGGCCCCATTCGGTTCGATTAACCGCGGTTTTCAGTTTTGACGGTTCAAATTGCCATCTCTACTCCTACATGATCATGCTGCAAACCAATTTCGAATACCTAGGACAATGATGTCGAGGACAACAATTAACGTCGTCCGTCAAGTAAGTCCCCTCTCCATTTTGTTTATATTTCACATTGAGGACAATGTTTCAGTTAAGTTTGGGGGGAGTGACATCATTTGCTTACGTTGTTGAGTTTCTCGAATGCTTGCATGTGATTTGCTTGTTTTATGTGTTTATTATTAAAAAAAATTTATATATGCATTTTCATATTCAGCATGCTTGTGCGAGTTAGATAGTCTTGTTAGTTATGATGAATATATTTGATAGCATGTATTAGTTTATGGATTGTGGATGAATCATATGTTTTAATTGGACTTTCTACTTATCCATATGAAGCGGTATAATATTTATGCACGAGTATTACATTGAGCGTCGTACAATAACATGAGGGCTCATGCACATAGGCTAAAAAGATGACTTAGGTGTGTAATCCCGTAACCCATGAATGACAATACCCCTTAACCGTGTACATTATAATTTGGAGCGTTCTAACCGGCAAAAGAAATGATTTACGATTGTGGTGATTCTATGCATGTGAAAAGGATTGTGTGGAGTGCATTTAATTTTTTGGTATAAGCTTGGTGATGACCGAATGCTAGAGATCTAACCCATATAATTACCGCTTCTTTTTACAAGAAACAAAGCATTGCACATATTCAGTTAAGTCTCGCACGTACACCTTTTTTACTCGAGTTATTAAGTCCGTAGGGGGTCTCTTAAAACCTGGTACCCTTTGGTATACAAAAAATCAGGGAGTTACCAACCTTACACTTGCTACAAGGGTCAAGAAGAAAAAAAAAAGGGTGAGGTAAATAAATAAATAAATGAATAAAAAAAATTGATCTTGGGGGCCTAGATAACTAGTGGGTTTGAATCACTAAATATAAACTGCATTGTTGAAATAATTAGAAATTGGGAGAATCACTACATGAATGAATTGTTGACGTTGCTAGTTGAACTAAGCCAAATTAGAGTGGTAAGAAGAAATCTTAAACACAACTAAATTTTAGAATTACACCATGGAGAGAGAATGAAAGATTCAAGTTTGGGGGTGTGTGAATCTTACTAGCGAAGAAAGGAAATAATTGACCATTAAGGGTTGGGAAATGAGTCAACTTGTGAATGTACGGTGCTACGCTTGATCATCCACACACGCACACCCACTTCGCATTGTATGAGTGGAAGTTTAGTTCCTGCATTGTGATTTTGACACCATTCATAAATGTAATATAACGTTATCAATGCTGAGCCAAAATGACAAGCTGTCTAACTGAATATTTGTGTGTATCGTCATTGGATAATATTATTGTTTGGTTTGTTTGTTTGCTCGAGGACTAACAAACGGTTAAGTTTGGGGGTATTTGATGAGTTTGTTTCATTCATGAATTTTGCACAAGTTTAGCTTGATTAAATGCTAGATCTTGTGAGTATAGAACATTTTTTATGTGTTTGTTAGTGTTGTTTTGAAGATTAGGAGAGGCGATGTGAAAAGAGGTATTAAAGTGGACAAAGAGGCCAAAAACATGGTATTGGGACAGAAAGACAGAGCTTAGACGCTGCATTTATAGCGCCTAGGCGCTATGAAACTGAAAAAAGATGAAATTTGAACTCGAGAGGCAGGGCCGAAGCCTAAGCGCTACAATCATAGCGCCCAACCGCTAAGAGGTAGCGCCTAGGCGCTGTGATTAAACTTACGCGACGCCTAGGCACTGTTTCGTAGCGCTTAGGCACTGCGACTGAGTGCCTAGGGAGTTTTTTTTTTTGGACCATTTTAAAATCCAAAAAAACCATTCTTCTACACAAAACGG